ATTTTTAAATATCAATTCACAGGGGTTTTAGAAGGCCCAACCAGCACTGCAAAACGCGGAGCCTCTGAGCAAAGAGATAATGTCAGCCTGTGATTAGATGTGATTCTATCAGCTAAATCCAAAATGATCATGTAAAAAGGAATTTAAAATAAAGAAAGGACATTTAGTGATTTAAATTCTGCCTGATAAGTCTGAAGCATACTTACTATAATCAGATGGGCAGCCCTGAGCATCACTGTTAGAGGCTGAGGGTTGGCACCACCTCATGAAGCACCTATGGCTGCCCCCTCACCACACACACCTCCCCAGGAATTTACAAGAAGGTGGTCTTTGCGCAGACAAATCAGAAAAGTCTCCCCGCCAGAGGTGCCTGGGTGGCTCAGTCGGTTAAGCATCCACCTTCAGCTCAGGTCATGATCCCAGGATCCTGAGACTGAATCCTGTGTCAGGCTCCCTGCTCAGCTGGGAGTCTGCTTTTCCCTCTGCCCCTCTCTCTGCTCGTGCTCGCGCTCTTCTCTCTCTCTCTCAAATAAATAAATGAAAAATCTTTAGAAAGGAAGGAAGGAAGGAAGGAAGGGGCCTCACATCATGAGGCCCCTAGTGAGAATGAGGCAATGGCTCTTCTCTTCAGTGGTTGGAGAATCAAGAGCGAGCTCCTCTAGGCAATCTCGGGGATCTTTGGTCCTTTAAGTGTTTTCAAGGTTCAACGAGAGGCTCAGTTCCCATTAAGGACTAGAACTTTGTGTCTTCCACCCACCTGCTATAATTGTTGTACTTCAGCTCTTCTACCCTCAAGCTTAAAAAATAAGTCAGTACCCTTTGTAGAAGGAGGAAAAAATATAAAGAAGAAGCCCTTTCTATCTTCTCAATAAACATACTTGTGTCTGCTCTCCTAGTAAAACATGCAGGTTCCAGAAATCTGCTGCAGGACTGCTGACAGGCCCGGCCTGCGCATGTGGGCAGCGAGGAGGCCAGGCCAGGATGGCTCGGGGCTGGCCCCCCTCCCCTTGGCTCTCCTCCTTTCCTGGGCCCAGACTACCCCATCTGGCCCTAGCAAGTCCTCTATAATCACAACTTAACACTTTGCTCCATTTATCACTTTGTTTTTATCATAGGCAAATAGAAGGAAAGGTATTACTTTCTACTTCTCAATAGCTTGCTAATTTGTCACACTGTGTCTTCAGATTGGGTAATCCTGCGGTTTGCAGAACAAAATGGTGAGAAAGCCTCCGTATGAGAATCTTCACCATTATGAGCCCTGCCTTCCCTCCAACCAGGAAGGGATATATTTTGACTTAAGAACGAAAAGAGAAAAAGAGTTCAGCAAGAAGGTTTATCGGGATATCAATGAGGACAAATGGTTTGAAAAGAAACGACTTTGAGGCACACCAGTCTGGGGAGTATCTCTTTAAAACAAGCAGCTAAAAATGCTTTCAACCTAGCAATACCATAAATGTCCTGCTGCTGTCTTGGCTTCCAGATTCTTCCCCGTACTTTCCATGAGCATTCCACTGGGAATTGTCTGGAATCCCAGATTAAAACAGCAATAACCCAATTCCCTTGTTAGAATATTTATTTTCTTTTAGGTTTGGAAACCCAGCTGGGATGCATCTTCAAGTATATGGCACAGCCTCAACCATCCTAGGGGCTACATGAGATGTTTCTCAAACAGCTCGATGGGCAGCTGAATCCTGGAACAGGAGAAGGAGGAGGGCAGCTCAGCCGCATGTGGAAAGCCCCAGCTGAGGACAAACAGCAAGAGCCTGGGAGCCTCCATTTTCAGAGGATTCAGTCCAGATGTCAGGACCAACAGGGCTCATGCAGATTACCCGGGAGGTCTCCAAAGTCAGGCTGCCAGCGAGGAGGCATCGCCCTGACCTGAATCCATACTCTAACACCTGATTATATTCTAAGGTCGGCAGTAATACGCTACAATCCTATATCTGATCATTATATATGTGGGGATCCATCCAAGGGACATAAAGTATTCCACAATTCATTGACCAGTTAGAAGATTCAAGCCATAAATCATTTCTGCCACTATAGCCACATCGGTGAATACTGGCTACGTGTCAACCCTGAATTCATCCCTCTATCCAAAAAGTACTTATTAAACACACTTACATAGTAGCATAATAGACAAGAGCCCAGGCTCCGGAGTCAGACGGAGCTGAGTTTGAATCCCAACTCTACCCTCGACTAACTATGTGACCTGGGCAGGTTCCTTAAATTCTCTAAGCCCTAAATTCCTCACGCGTGATGTGAATGTTAAAAGAACATCTACCCTACAGGTACTGCTGGGAGAATTAAATAAAATAGTTTACATAGAGGACTCCACACAGTTCCTGGACCAGGGCAATCCCACAACAAATATGAGCTATTACAGTTGTGTGCTAGGCGCATGGTAGGCCCTGTACTGCGTGGTAGGCAGCCCAGCTGAGGCCCATGAGGAAACCGTCTACTCCCGAAACAGTGTTGATATAGAAGAGATGGTTCCAAGTATGGAGAAGGACTCCCTAAGTGAGATTATGATAGCTTAAAGTGAAGAGGGCCGTTAAACGTTCTCTTGTCGCGTCACAATATTGTCTGGTAGGAAAACTGGGTATTATAATGACTGACTCACAGTCAACCAGCTAGTTTAACAGCAGAACTAATTAAGAATGAAGACCTTCTAACTAGCTAGTTTGGTGTGCTTCTTTGTTTCTTCTGCCATGGTAACTACTTATGGGCAGGCAGTCCTGTGGTGAAAGGGCTTCCAAAAATAAAGGCATCCAGAGGCGAACCAAGAGTTAGGGCCTCCTTGCGGGGGATGTCTCAAAGGGATAAAAAGCTATGAGAGGGCGCCTGGGTGGCTCAGTCGGTTAAGCGTCTGCCTTCAGCTCAGGTCATGATCCCAGGGTCCTGGGATCGAGCCCCGCATCGGGCTCCCTGCTCCACAGGAGGCCTGCTTCTCCCTCTCCCACTCCCCCTGCTTGTGTTCCTGCTCTCGCTGTGTCTCTCTCTGTCAAATAAATAAATAAAAATCTTTAAAAAAAAAAAAGTCAGCTATGAGAGGGCGCCTGGGTGGCTCAGTCGGTTAAGCGTCTGCCTTCAGCTCAGGTCATGATCCCAGGGTCCTGGGATCGAGCCCCGCATCGGGCTCCCTGCTCCACAGGATGCCTGCTTCTCCCTCTCCCACTCCCCCTGCTTGTGTTCCTGCTCTCGCTGTGTCTCTCTCTGTCAAATAAATAAATAAAAATTTTAAAAAAAAAAAAAAGCTATGAGAGAAATCTCTGTTTGGGCCAAGCATTCATACATTTTTCTTCTCTGTACTAGACTTTAAACTCTGTAAGGGCAAGGAGTTTGGTCTGCTTTGCTCGCTTCAGTATCCCCAGCACCCAGAAGAGTGTCCGGCGCAGCACAGATAACCAGTAACTATTTGCGGAACAAATAAATGAACGAGATTAGACAGTAGGAGTGTTTTGCCGGCACGGCATAAGCGTGTTCGATTTGGAAGTGACTATTCCTGAAGTGAATATACCAGTCACAGGACAGCTTCTGGAGGAAAAGATGCTGTTACCGGACTCCGGTATCTTTTCCAGTCCCGTCTACTCCCCTGGGGCCTCAACACTCCGGTTTAACAAGGACAGGAGAGCCTGCCGTCATGACCCTCGCATGGCATGACACGGCTACAGTCCCAATCTCATCTTTAAAAGTTCATTGTGGAGAAGATGGGAGAGTGGAGCTCTGTCCTTGCCCAAGTGAAGCTGGAATGTGCTGTCACTTACAGCAACTTTGTAAATACAGACGGATGCAGCAAGCTGGAGGAAGGGAAGGAAGGGCTCCCATGGCCCTCAGCTCCTCCCCATAATCCCAGCTACCTCCTCACTGGAGGAGAAGGGATAGCCAGCAACATTCCCCTGCGACCTCCCAGCAACACAGTCACCTGATTCCCTGAATTCTCACAGGGTGAGCAAAGAGGAGCCTACATCCTCTGTCTCTTTTTGTTCTCCACTTTCAGCAAGCAACCTTCTGGCTTCTGAGGAGGGATGGAATGAGAGGAGGTGAATATCCTGGGGAGCCAAGATAGGGCCAAGGTGACCCCCCGTGTCTTCTACAACCTGGACCTGTGCCCTCGGGACAATGTTCAAGCCAGGAAACCTGGCATTTTCTTGGCCACTGTGATCAGGGTGGGAATCAGGTGACTCATTCTCCCCAGCTGCCCCATCACGCTGTATCATGTAGGCTGGGTGGCAGCACAGGAAAGAAAGACAAAAAGGAAATGACAGGTGTCGGCTGCTTTGGAGGCTGGCCTCAAGAGCACAAGTGTGTTGGCCCTGATGCTCTGCCAAGCTGCAGTAGAGGATTCAGACAGGGAGCTGGGAGAGGCAGGGGGAAGAGATGATCTGAGAGAGAAAGGTGGAAAGAGTGCAAACTGACCAGAGCCGCAGAGGCAAGGCAGGTACAAGAGAACAGGAGAGGAGAGGAGAGGAGAAGAAAGGACAGAACGGAGAGGCCATATCTAGGCAGTAAAATGAAGCAAAGAAAAGCAGCCAGCATGCATTTAAAAAAAAAAGAAAAAAGGAGGGGAGGCTCTGTAAAGAAAGGAAGAACACATAGCCTAAAAGCAAAGCAGGGAGGGAGTCTGACTCAGAAACTGCCCAAAACTTAGGGTCTTATGAAAATACTAAAAAGAGCAGTCAAGTGTGAACCTAGGGAGACAAACTTTCCAAAAAAGTTCCCTTTGCCTCTTAGGAGATCGAGTGCACTCTGCCCTATAGTACACATTTCCAGATGTTGGAGGTAACGTAGCAGCAAGGGCCAGGAGTCTCAAGCTTTTCAATGGGCTGCAAAGCAGCTTCGCAAAGTGGGCGCCGAGTGACAATTTCAGAGCTTGCCCCTCTCCGGCCCAAAGCCCCGCACCCCCGCCCAGTCAGTCATTCCCCTCTCAGTCTGTCTGTCCTTCTGGCCATGGTGTTGTGCGTCCTCCCTCCCAGCCCCGCGCACGCGCGAACACTCACGCAGGTGCGCGGGCAGACGGATCGAGTCGTCCTCCATCCTGAGCGCTCGGGGCACTGGAACATGAAGTGGAGTCGAGGAAGCGTAACTCGGCACCGGGCTCTCGGGAGGTGTATATGAAATTCGTTCCTGCTGTTAGAAAGAAGGGCAGGAAGAGGGGAGGGGGAAGAAGACAATGAAGGCTTAGAACTGACTTGGGTGTGAAATCAGGGAGAGGGGTGGGGAGCAAAGGGGAGAGAGGGGGCATTTGAGCGCAGGTGGATCAGGCTTCACAGCAATCCCCCTCGCCCCCTCTCCAGACACTCCATCCACTTAGTTGTCTTTCGGATCTCCAGCATTTGGGAATTTTTTTTTTTTTTAAGATTTTTATTTATTTATTTGACAGAGAGAGACAGCGAGAGAGGGAACACAAGCAGGGGGAGTGGGAGAAGGAGAAGCAGGCTTCCCGCAGAGCAGGGAGCCCGATGCGGGGCTCGATCCCAGGACCCTGGGATCATGACCTGAGCCGAAGGCAGCTGCTTAAC